CTGGTAAAATGGGTTGACGAATTAGAGACCGAGTGCGGTAAGTGTGCCGTAACCCCCCCCCCTTCCCCCTCATTCACATGACTCCGAGCCGGCTTTTGAGCATGCAGGTCACATACCCCGATAAGACCTTTTTCATAATGCTTCCTCACTGATTATTCATCAATGCCCCTTGCCCTGATTTTGCGTTTGATAGGATTAAATTCGTTCATTTGTTTAATTTCCAAATCGACTTATATCTTTTTTTTTGCTTACCATGATTCCTCTTTTGATCCATTTTGCTCCCGGTATTCTAACCTATTTTCGTTTATGATGAGTTGTAGTTATATACAAATTCTTTTATGATTTCTTACTACCATCTCTCACTTGGTGTGTGACAAGCCCCCCCTCCCCCCTTATCAGCGGCATCGTGTCCCTAACCTGCCTGTCTTATCCACCAACAGCCACGCTCAATGTGAAACTTAAGTTCTTGGAAATTGAGAAACAAGTCTTAGAGGAAATGACGCAAGGGAAAAGGGATCCGAATAACGCCGTCGATGGCGAAATGTGCCACCTGCTCTTTGCCGAGAACGAGAACCTGAAAGCGCACTGCACGTTCCTCAAGGACAAGGCCGACGCCAAGGAGGCCGAGGCGCGGCAGCAAAGGCGTAGAGTGAGGGAGCTCGAGGTAGAGAGGGAGAAAATGGAGGAGCAGATGAAGGGTTTTAAGGAGACTGAGCGGAAAGTCGTTGAGGTGCTGAACTCGGAGGAAAGGGCTTATAAGAGGGCTTCGGAATACACGCCCAAGTCAGCCCTAAGACAAATGGTAGACGAATTGAATCGCGAATGTGGTAAGTCTGTTTAGTCTCGGGTCGTGCCGTAGTGACCTCAGGGCGTGGTAGACGTATGTGCAGATGTCGAGCAGCTGTCGTAGTTCACGCACGGGTTTCAAAATGGATGCTTTTCCCACCTTTATTTAGCGAAGAGAAATGTATAGATCTCCTGTCTCGTTTTTGTTAAAGAAACTGACCAACCCATCAGGGAAAAAATCAACTTGCACGAAAACATTTTGAATTCTGTCTGCATCTGTCAGCCAACAACACGTCAAGTATTGCGAACAACAAAACTACATTGGTATTCATATTACATATAATTAAGGGAACTGTAACTGAAATTCAAAGCGCGTATGGTTATGGCAAACGCGGTTACATCCGTTATCGCGAGAATTGCTTACAGTACTGAAATACACCAATAAAAGGAAGAACACAGAAAAGGGAGAGTTGTCAGCGTTTCCTCTATGATCTGAAAGACAACCACAAACGTTTTATGTATCTAACATTCGTCCAATATACTGTATCACTCGAAAAAAGACAACAAACATGCAGTGGCTTTCTATGTGTCTTCTAGCACTATGACCACCTCTTGTGACGAGTACAAGGTGTGCCTCCAACCCACCAAAGACAAATGGCTGTCAACCTTTTCGTCTATCTGAAGGTTGCTAACACCACTGGCTATGTGAGGACCGCCAAATCTTATTGGTTATGTGAAGGCTGCCAAACTTGCTGCTTATGTGAGGGCTGCCAACCCTTATTGTCTATGTGATGGCTGTTAACTTTACTAGCTATTTCAGGGCCTGTGGAGTGCCCTTGCTCCCTTCAGCACCCTTATTCATTCCTTGCTTTGAGAAGTGAATGAAATGCTTATGAAGTGCTTCCTTAATACTGTTCCCAAGAATCTTAATCCTGATATATTCACAAAATGTATCTGAAGTGTTTTTTTTTTCAACGATTCCCCAGTAATGAGTGTGTTTTGATATTTTGATTGACGTATATCAGTGACATTGGTGTACAACTCAAATATTCATATATGCAGTATATCCATCTATCTGTTGATATCCAAATTCAAATCAGTATCAATACCTATCCATTTATTTATATATGTTTAGCTATCTATATATACTCGTACACACACGAATACGAAACGAACAGATCTCTACCGCATATTCTCGTGGTTTCCCTTAATTTCCTCCATTCGCTGGTGTGTTTAGGGGTTTCCTATTGTTTTATATATCTATTTTTTTTCTAATTTGATTTCCTCATTTCACTTTTATTTATTTGCTAGCTACCTTTCTTTTTTATTGTAATTGCCCGACTTTACACCTGTGATTTTCGGTATGATAACAGGGAATTAGTAAATAGACGAACGTACAAAGGGACAAACAAAACCTAAAACCCGAATTCATACTAGACTAACTTAGTAGTAAGGTTGATTAACAATAAACTACATTTCATTTTATTTTATTTTCTAAAGTAGATCATTTCCGAACACACCAGCGGCGAGGGAAGTCCAGTTCAGAAATAGCTTGCAAGTGACTTTTGACCCTTGACCTCTCGCTTGATATTTTGCCTGATTTTTGTTGTTGTTTTCTTTTGTTCTTAAGTAGTAGTCTCTGAACTGGGCAAAGGGAACCCGTTTCTGAAGGAGCTTTCTCTAGGGGAAAATTGCATGGGGCAGGAAAGCAGCAATGCCGTTCATGCTGGAGGAAGGTGGACGGGACATAGATAAATATGTCAGGTCTTTTAGGATCTGGAATCACTTGTATTTTATTTCGTGTATGATAGAGATGTATTTTTGGTATGATGTAGTATTGATGCGAGCGGTTTAGCCATACGGCCAGTTTGATAAAAATTCGCAAGACCCCAACTAATGAATATTCGTATATACAGACGTAAATATACACAGAAATAAATACATATATGTTTATCTATCAGATATGTAAATCTATCTATATATCTGCACGATAGATATGATTTATTTCAGTGTATATGCATGTTCGTATAATGAATGCTCATTGGGTTGGCCCTCGTATAAGTTTAACAAACCGGCCGATAGACACACACACACACACACACACACACACACACACACACACACACACACACACACACACACACACACACACACACACACAACACAACTACACTTCGCAAACCATCACAAGATTCGTCTCGCCTAATCTTCAAACTTTTTATCCCCTACCCCACTCACCCCTCACCCCCATCCTCCTATTACCCCCCCTCGCCCCTACAGCCCGCCTGCACGTCGCCCTCAAGGAGTCCGAGAAGAAGAAGACGAGGCCGAGCTCCGAGGACCTGACGAGCCTGCGGGACGTGGAGGACAAGCTCGAGAGAGAGAGGGAGAGGAACGAGGAGCTTACACGGCAGCTCAAGGAGGAGAGGGAGAAGCAGGACAAAGTATGGAAACAAGAGTGAGTATGGAGAGGCAGATTGAGAGAGAGAGAGGGAGGGAGGGAGAGGGGGAGGGAGAGGGGAGGAGAGGGAGAGGGGAGGAGAGGGAGAGGGGGAGGGAGAGGGGAGGGGGAGGGAGAGGGAGGGGGAGGGAGGGGGAAGGAGAGGGGGAAGAGAGGGGGAGGGAAGGAGAAGGGAAGGAGAAGGAGAGGGAGAGGGAGAGAGGGAGGAGAGGGAGAGGGAGGGAGAGAGAGAGAAGAGAGGAGAGGGAGAGGGAGAGAGGGAGAGGAGAGGAGGGAGAGGAAGGAGAGGGAGAAGAGAGAGAGAGAGAGAGAGAGAGAGAGAGAGAGAGAGAGAGAGAGAGAGAGAGAGAGAGAGAGAGAGAGAGAGAGAGAGAGAGAGGTGAGAGAAAGTTGAGAGAGACAGAGGAGAGTAGAAGATAGATAGATAGATAGATAGATAGATAGATAGAGAGAGAGAGAGAGAGAGAGAGAGAGAGAGAGAGAGAGTGAGGGAGAGGAGAAGAAGAAAGAGAGAAAGGAAAAAAAACGGGAGATGGTAAAAGTGGAAGCGAGAAACAGAATGAGACTGGCTGACCGTGCACATGTGTGTACGTACGAGCATGCATGAAAGAAAGAGACGAGATCTCCTAATGTTTTCCCTCCTTTACAAGTATGAACATCCTCCTTTCAGTCTGAAAACGAAAGAGAGAAAGCGAGAAGGGCGAGGGCAGCAACAGCCTTGTTTATCTTCATGAGGTGTGGACGCGTCTGAATGATACGTTATCTTACAGGGAGGAGAGTGAAAGGAGAGAGAAAGGATGGGGGAGGATGAGAGGGAAGGAGGATGAGGGAGGATGAGAGGGTGAGGCGGGGAGGGAGAGAGGAGGGAAGGATGAGAGGGGAGGGGAGGGGAGAGAGGAGGGGAGGAGGAGAGAGGGGAGAGAGGGAGGGAGGGAAAATGGGAAGGGGTGGGTGAGGAGGTTGGGAAGGGGTGGGGAAAAAGGAGGATGGAAGTGAGGGGAGGGGAGGATAAGAAGAGGGGTGTGGGAGGAAGTATGGGAAGAGTGCTGGGAGGGTTACAGGGAGGGGCTAGTAGGGGAGGAGGGATAGGAGGATGGGGCCTGGCGGGAGGGGCTAGTGGAGAGGGTAGTCAAAGCAGCTGAAAGGATAGCGAAGATGAAAGCGGAAGAGAGAGGAGTGAAATAGGACAAAGGCATGAGAGGAGAAAGCGAAGAGGTGATAAAGGAAGGCGGAGAGAGGGAGAAAAGGGGGACTTTTTCGACATTGGTCGATAGATAGATAGATAGTTAAAAAGAGACGAGAGAAATGATATAGATATGAAGATAGATAGACATATTAATAAAAGAAATATGAATCGATAGATAGATAAATAGAAAGAGAGAGAGAGAGAGATACAGAGAGATACAAAGACCAAGGGACAGAGAACGAACCAAGCAGAAAAAAACTACGAAAATAAGAACAGCCAAATAATGATAATACAAATAAAAATAATAGTAATAATAATAATAATAATGAATGGAATAAAAAGAATAAAAAAGATCACCCACGCACACGTCACCCCCCCCCCCCGTTCACAGGAAGAACCGCAAGCGAAGATGACGTCAAACGCTACGAGGAGAAGGTCGAGTCCCTCAAGAAGGAGCTGGCCAAGGAGAAGGAGCGCTACGACGACCTCAAGACTAAGATCGGGGACGGCAAGTCGGTCGGCTTCGAGGAGCTTCGGTCTGCGCAGTCCGAGAAGCACAGACTCCAGAAAGAGGTAAGGACTCGAGGCGCAGGTCTGAGGCCGGGGTCTTTCAGGCTTTTTTTTTTTTTTTTTTTTTTGCTTCTATTGTTTTATACATATTTGTATTTGCGTTCATATCTTTCTATGCTTGTATATGCCTAAAGAATTATTCATTCACATGTGTATATCCATTTGTATATCTGCTTATCAGTCTATTCATCTATCTATATGTGTTTGTCTTTATTCCTATGTATGTATATTTGTATATACGTATGTATATGTTTGTATGTACATAAGTGTGTGTACTGTATGCCAATATCACACACACACACACACATGCATATATCCACCGCCATCCGCGTCATACACCCTGTTCCCGCAGCTGTCGACGGCGCAGCAGACGACGGAAGTGCTGGAGAAGAAGCTCAAGGAAGCGGAGGAGAACATCCGACTGGCGGAGAAGGCGGAGAGGAAATCGAAATACGTGTTGGAGCAGCTCGAGTCAAAGGTATCGTTGCCCCGCCTATTTATCTTTCATTCTCCTTCTCCTTTTGTCCTCTATCTGCTCTTCTGGTCTTTTCTTTTGTCGTCTTGTTTTCCTAATTTCTTCGTTACATTATTTTTTACTAGAAAATGATATGAGGTAGTGTCTTGTGTTTGTTTTGTTCGTTTGCCTGAGATCAATCTATGGTTAATACTGTTTTAACGATAAGGACTAACATATCACCTGTGTGATGTCTTTGTTCTCGTAGTGCTAGATGTAACATTAATATTGTTAACCGGTGATTATGTTAATATCAGGCTGAGTTTAATTAAAAGAATTACTAACAACATTTCATTCTGATGCTAATAATCTATTGTAATCTTATAAATGCTTAAAATATATGAATAATCGTATAACGGAATAACACGTATGCATGACAACACATTATTTGTGCTCTTTGTTTTGTCGTGTATATTGATGTCAATATGCTTAAATGTTTCATAAAAGACCGAATGGTCATTAAATATCTAACGATCAGTGTTTATCTTGTTCTCTCTCGCTCGTTCTCTCTAGAGTAAAGTATTGAATGTAAGCTGCCATTTCTACCTAACACTTTCTCTCCTTCCCTTTTCCCCTTTCATCTCTTGACTGTCGGCCCTTTCCGGCGGCCCTCTTCCCGTTGCTCTGGCTGCCTGTGGCTTTCTATAGCTGGAGGAAGAGAAGAACAGCCTGACGGCGGCCGAAGAACGCCAGAAGGAAATGACCATGTCTTGGCTGAAGGAGCGGGATGACCTCAAGAAGGAGATCACGGAGGCCAAGAAGACCAAGGAGAAGGCGGAGAGGGAGCTCCGCACGGCCAAGAAATCGCGCGACCAGATGGTGAGCGTGTGGCCTTGAGGGGGGCGGGCCATGGCACTGTATGGCCACAGGATTTGGGGTTTGGTGTGGTGTTCGCGTCACTGTATGGCCCTGGGATACAGGTCCTACGGATTGTGTGGTGCCGGAAATTACGTCATTATAGAGCCCCGGGGTATGATATAAAGGGAGGATATTGTTTTTTATTCTTATAGAAAATTGGGTATGAATCGGGAAAGAAATACGATATAGTTAAGGATAATGGTGCTTCGATGACGAGCACCTGCTTCTCCCATGAAATAAACAGGAAAAGAGAGTCAATTAAACTCCTGCCTCTTTTCCTCAGCTGGAGTAGCCTTTGTTCCGTAAGGGTCTTGCCGCGAGCACTTGTGCTTGCAAGGATCAACGATGCATTCAGATTCAGTATCAGTCATCATGACGTCAGCTTTTCAATCAATTGTTACTTTATACCACATGGTGTCTCTTTCTCTGTCATATGACTTAACGTCACCTTATTAGTCAGACGATCTTATCATTTTTATTGATCTGACGTCTCCTTCTCGCTGAGATGACGTCATCTTTTCACTCTGATGACGTCACCCAATCAGCTGACCTCCCTTACCCAGATGACGTCACCCAATCAGCTGACCTCCCTTACCCAGATGACGTCACCCAATCAGCTGACCTCCCTTACCCAGATGACGTCACCCAATCAGCTGACCTCCCTTACCCAGATGACGTCACCCAATCAGCTGACTTTGAGAACCCTTACCCAGATGACGTCACCTAACTCTGACTTCCTCCCCCTTTCTCCCGAAGGAAACCATGATGGAGGATGAGAAGAGGCGCTCGGAGGACGTCTCGGCGGCCAAGAAGAGGGACTCCGACGAGATTAAGAGGCTGAAGGCGGACAAGGAGGGATTGTCACGTGAGGTCGATGAGCTGAAGGATGCTGTCAGTAAGGTGGGTGCCGCTGTCTTTTCTTCCTACTTTTCTGGTGATTTTTTTTTTTTAATTCTCTTTTTTTTTTTTTTTTTTTTTTTTTAATTGTTATTACTTCTTGTGCCGCTGTCTTTTCTTCCTACTTTTCTGGTGATTTTTTTTTTTTAATTCTCTTTTGTTTTTTTTTCTTATTGTTATTCTTGTTTTTCTTTGTATCGTCGTTGTTCATATGAAGACTATTATTCGTATGATCGTTATCGTCTTTATCAGTATCGTCGCCATCTTGATCATCATCACTATCTTTATCATCATCACCATCGTGATCATCATCTTAATCATCACCACCATCTTTGTCATATATGTCACCATATCTATCATTAGCAGCATCTTGGTCTTGGTCATCATCATCATTATCTTCATCATCTTTACTATCATCATCTTTATCACAATATAGATAACATCACCATCTTTATTATCATCACCATCTTTATCTTGATCATCAGCTTTACCATCATCACCACCATCATCACCATCTTTATCACTATATATATCATCACCATCTTTATTATAACCACCATCGTCACCATCTTTATCTTGATCATCATCATAACCTTTATCATCATCATCACCATCTTTATTTGATCATCATCCTTATCATCAAAATCTTTATCACCATCTTTATTATCATCATCGCCACCATTATCACCATCATCACCATCTTTATCAACATCATCACAATATCACCACCATCTCTTCCTCCTCTTCCACACCCTCATCCTTGTCGCCTTCGTCCTCGTTCCTTTGAGCTTCGGCCAAAAAGGTCAGCAATTTTATCAATATCTCGGCTGCCAATCATTATGAAAATGATATATGAAAAGACGAAAAAAAACGAAAATTAAAAGTTTAATTTACCTCGTCTCCTTTGATCGCTTACCATCACGTCAATCATTACACATCTTTATCATCTCTTTATCATCATTCTCTCTTCTTCCCCTTCAGCTCGAGAAGTCAAAGGACAACGTGAACTACAAGCAAAAGAGAGAAATGGAGAACCTTCGGAAGGAGAAGGAGGACCTCGAGATCCGCATGAACACCCTGGAGAGTGAGCTCAAGGTGAGGTCAAGGGGGTTATTGGCGGTGATGATGATATTGTATGATATATTGATAATGGTGAACGTGATGATAGTAATAATGATGATGATAAAAATGATGATTGTGATGACAGTAATAATGATAATAACTATGATACTAATGATGGTCGTGATGACAGTAATAATGATAAGAACTATGATATTACTGGTGATGTTAATGATCATACTAATGGTGATAATGATAATACAGATAATGGTAATGATAATACTGATGATGATAATATCATTATTGTTATTAATGTTCCTATTATCGGCATTTTAGTTCTGTTGTTCTAATTATGTTTATTGATATGATTATGATAATAATCGTTGTATTTATTATTATCAGCAGCAGTAGTAATATCAGCAATACTGATAATATCTCTTATGTTTTTTTTATTGTGCAAACACAATGGAATAGTCTAATAAATAGTACAATCCAATAATTCCTTTTCAGCCTGTTCATATTGGAAGAACACGTATGATATATAGAATTAGAGTTTTTATGAATAGATATAGTGACATTACATATGATGACGATATAAGTATGGAATCAACAACAACAGCAGAAGCAATAAAAATATAATCACCACCACCAACAACAACAACACGAACAACCACAACCACAACACCGCCAGTAACAATGATATAAACAACAACAGCAACACCACCACCACCACTATTACCATTACATTACCACCACTATCACTATACACCACCACACCACAAACCACTACACACACCCACACTACTACAACACCACCACACCACCAATACCACACAGTACCAGTACCACACCACTACTACCACTACACACTACCACCACACCACCATCACCATCACCACACCACCCAACCACCACCACCAATATTAATACATAAACACAATCACTACCTAAACCACTACTGCCACCATTACCACCAGCACAATAACAACCACCAAAACAACAACAACAGCATGAACACCAACAAAGTCCACACACTAACCAAGCCTCCCTCCTCCTTCCCCGCAGTCGGAGCAGAAGCGGCGCGAGAGGCTGGAGAAGGAGTCCGAGAGGAGCGGGTCAGCTGTTGGTTTTGCTGCAAGAAAGAACGAGACCGAAGCTAAGAAACTGAAGACGGACCTGGAGAATGCGAAGAAGGAGTATGATGAGAAGATCAAACGTGAGTTCTCCGAATGTTCTCTCGTGTTCTCGTGATTGTTGAATTTTTGGTTTGTTCAAGTCAATTGTTTTTTATTTGTTTATTTATGTGTTTATTCATTTATTTTTGCGGAGGGGAGGAGGTTGAAAGACACGAGTATAATGTGACATTGATTTGATATCTTACGCTCCTTGATTGATTCTTATTACGGTTTTATGGCCAATGGGAAAAAATATAGCCTCGTTTTCTTCCCAAGACCCGAAAATTATCTGCGAAGAATATGAGTTATTTTCTTTTTTTTATACTTTGATTCATGGACTGACCAGTGTTTCTTATCCCTCAGAACTGGAAGCACAGATGAAGAAGGAAAAAGAAGGTCGTGAAGAACTCCAGAGAAAATACGACCTCTTGGAGGAAGACTACGTCGTGCAGAAGGCTCAGGTGAGGATCTGCGTTTGATGAAATGAATATTCA